AGTCATTGCTTTCTCTGCCTGGAATTGAAATAAGTGTTTGTCCTAATTCATATGCTATCTGATGTGAAGTGGGCCTGCTTTGTACTGCACTACACCATTAATCTAATTATAGATAGCTGCAAATGAAGTGCTGTCTGAGCTGGGAGATTGAAGAAAATAGCCTTTTGTCATTTAGCATGACTCTGTGAAGCAAGATCACACTTTACAGGGCAATACTGCAAAATGGAAATCTCAATAATATTGCTGCCTGTTGCATCTTTTCTAATTACAACAACATTGTAAACACAACTGGGCGCTGATATAAATAGAGCTGTAGATATGCTGTCATGTCGCTTGTAGGAGAAAGTCCTCCGAGTGCTGTTGGATTAAATGATGCATCCTGATTGACAGCTACCTTGAGACTGCGCTGATGGAGTTGTCACAGCATTATGCTAACAGGCTGCTCCAGCGACTGCAGCTGTAGGAGGCTGTGGCGTGCCCTGCGCCTTAGCTGCTGCCCGTTCATGTCAGCTTCTTCGCCTGGGTTGCACCTCCAAAGGAAGGACAGCCATAGGCTTCGATGCTGTGCGTTTTCACTGTTGTGTCTTAGGGATTGGTGGTGGTGGCTTAGCTCACATATCAGGTGACTAGGCCCTTTGTGGAGAAGTAGAGGGGAATGATTTTGTATGGCTCTGAACTTTGCTGTGTCTTCCTCAAGTGACAATTGTGTACCCCACAAAGAATTTAGAAAAGAACGTGGTTGAATTACCAATCTCATTCTACTGAAGTGTTTTAATTTAGTTTTTTTTCTGCTTTTCTGACACCCCAGTGTTTTTAAAGATGATTATTTTTGCATTTCGCCCTTTCCTTTAAAAACACTGACGCTATTTCCCCAGCTCTGAGTTAGGAAAGTAGATTTAGGGGAATATTTGAGTGTCGCTTGTTATTGCCACACTGTGGAAATGAAGACAGAGCTTCATGTTGGAGACCTTTGGGGCCAAGTGTTAAAACCTTGACTAGGAAGAGAGCCTACTCTCGGAAAAAAAGTGTCACCACCTTACTTAGGGTTGCATGGACAGTATTTGGCCCGTGCTTCGAGATATTAGGATAATTAATGCACAGTGATTTACAGTCAAAGACAGCACTTGCCCTTGAGTTGTTGTTGACTGAGATAGCCAACAGTTGACGGACATGAAGAGCATTAGCAGTCGGCCACCTGCGCGTATCCTAATTGTTACTGGAAGAATGACTTAGAAATGGAAACTGGAAGTGAGCCCACTTGAAGAGGAACGGAGGCTGATGGTGGCACTGGAGGCTCTGAAGTCACAGCTGAAAACTGTACAGCAAACTACAAGCACTCACCTTGGGAGCAGCCTCGGACCTCGGAACCATCGCAACACATTAGCACATGGGGTCTGCAGAATTAAACTACCGGTACTTCTGTAGGCTGTGGAAAGAATCGCATGCATTTAATGCTGTTAAGGAGGTGCATGTACTAAACAAATACAGCACCCACCAGCATGGCATTCTCTGTACCTGTCTAATTGGAGTGTGCCTCACAGTGGGTGATACTTTCATGTCTTTGGGTGCTGAGTTCTGGAGTGTGGGAGCGCAGGCACACAAGCCCAGTTGCAGGATGCTTTTCTTAATGAGGCCCAGTTATAAAGCTCCTATCTTGCCCAGACTGTAACGAGCCTCCCCCTTCTCCTCCAGCAGCCCCTCCCAGCCCCCGGCCTTTCATCAGTCTCCATGGAAGAGCTGTGCGTCAATTTTAAAAACAATCCCACTGGCGTTCCCTGTAATTGTCCACCTCTTGTGGCTTTCTTCCTGATCCTCTTATGTCAGCTGTGATTCCTTTTCTTTCTTTCTTTTAAACTTTTGGGAGAAATTTTCTTGTTAGACATGGTTTCCCACTGTAGAGGCCATAAAATTAATTTGCTTCGATACCCGGGCTGGGGTCACTTTTCCGTAATTGGGTCACTAGATAACACCTCCCATTACTGTCATGTGTGGGTTGAGGAGTCTGCCAGGTCAAGCCCAGAGAGCACCTGTTCTCTGTTCTAAGTTACGTGGTGAGCTGTTTTTCAAGAACATTATATTCATTTGGCTCTGTGGTCTGGAGAATAGTTTCCTAAGCCAGCGAAGTCAGGTTCCGTGCACTGACCAGCCCGGAGCTAACTGGAGCGAATCATCTTCCAGCTCCATGGCAGCCCAGCTCCACCGACGGGCAGCTGCCTGTCACCTGCTGGCATTTCCTCCCCCTACCCAATGGGAAACCTGGCTGCTTCTGGGATCCTGCCACTCTGTCCTGTCTATGAGCCTTCAGAGTCTTGGATTCCTACCCCAAATATCAACTTTGTGATTTATCAACCACAAAAACTTAAAACTCTTTAGGGGAGTTTCTCCCAATCCATGAGGAATATTGAAATGCCCATGATGAAACCAGCTTGTGCCCTGCGGTCTGGGTAGGGGCACATTCCTGAAGTCTCACAAAGCATTGGCTGCTCTGTGCCCCCAAAGAATCCAGAGACGCCAATAAATAGCAGTTTTGATCATAAGCTCGGAAAGCCCTGGTGTACATTCTTAAATGACTTCTTTTCTGGGGCATCAAAAAGCTTTTACGGTTCTCACCAGGCAGTTCATTCTGATGGGCCCGTGTGCTGCACCCCGCTTGGGCCCCATCCCGGCACGCGCCCCGTGTGGCGCAGCACGGGCCAGCTGAGAGGTTGTTTTAAGAAGGCATGTTTGTGTGGTACGCTCACGGGGTCAGGACAACATCAAAGGTAATCTTAAAAAGAGAATCTATCTCTGCCTCCTCTTTTTATATTCAGAAAGGTCATTTCTAAACCAACTATTTGCACCAAGCCCTCTCTGGAGGAGTTTACCCCATTGTTATTTTTTACTTGCTATTACAATAAGTCACTTATCCCCCAAACAGATTTAAGAACAATAAACAAATACAAAAGGAAAAGGAACATCTCATCAGTAACAAAGACTGCATCTAAAGGCATTGAGTTTATGACTCTTTTACATCTCTTTCCAAGCAAAGCAGGACTCCTACAGAGAAAGGAATCTGAAAGATGAAAATTATAAAAATAGTAAAAGGATCCAGTTTTAGTCAGAATCTTGTAATTTCTGGGGATAAATGAAGCTAAATCCAGTCTTAGCACTTGGTGCAGGCCGACCTGTGATATAACTACACGGCGTTTTGGAGTACATCCACCATGGGGAAATGCGGTAAACCGTATTCTCAATGTATGAGGATACTTTTCCTGAATTTAGGCTTCATATTTTGAAGTCAGATTCTGCAAAACACAAGAGAAAAACAGATCTGTGCGCTATGCTGAAAACTGAATGAGGAACGTTGCAAGTCACTCACATAGACAGCTCAGCTCAGGGTGACACCAACTAGAAAAGTAACTTTTTCGTTGACTCTGACGTCTCTAGTGATGTTGGATTTTTTTTCCCCGTGGCAGACAGCACAGATACGAAAACTGTGCAATTTGGTCCAATTATATTCTCCTCTGTCCCTCCACACCCTCCCCCATTGATTTAATGAAGGACTTAGAGGTACAATTCATCACTGATAAATAGTCCCTCTGCCCAGAGTGTTTATTAGACTGACAGCAGTGTGCACTCTCCTCGCTTTTTTCCCTCACCACTTATGACTCAGATGAATTTTAATAGGAGCAAAAAGCTTTTATTTGTACTGTAATTTCACTTAAGGATCATAGCCTTCAGAAACTGGCAGACGCTTCTATGTCTTGATTGCAAAACACACACTCAGGAGTAAAGAAACATGCAAAAGATGTTATTATTCAACCTGTCACAGTGCCGCAAATCCACTTGGAACTTAGGCCATCAAAGCTCTCCCCCCACCCTTTTCAATAGGCCTGTGAAGAGGCACTTAGAGATTTCCACCCTCCCCACACAGAATTAAAGGGGGAATTATATTTTGTTTTTGCATCCCTGCCATCATGATGCCCACAGGAGGCTTTGAGTTACAGCAGGTTTTTTTTGAACAAAATGGAGCTGTCTCACTGCTGCTGCTTCTTTCTTACTCAAGAGAAATGTGACCTGGTAGGGATCCAGAACCTTCAGGTGGTGGTTCCAATTTCACCGAGACACTTCCTCAAGCCATTTTATCTTCTTTCTATTTGGATAGGGCAAACTGTGGCTCATAGATTTATTCACGGAGAGGATAGGAATTCTCTTTTTTGGAAATGTTCTGCTCCACTGAACTGCCCTGAACATGCCCCTAATTGTTTGCGAGCCGCCTACAGAAGGTGCTGTGAAAATACTTGCTGTGCATACTGTTTTCCATCCGCGTTTGTAACACCTTCATGTTATTGTCTCTCAGTGCAGAAGGTATTCTCATGCCCCTTCATCTTTTCCTAACCATCTTGTTAAATCAGAAAGACTGTGCCATGTTGTGCCTTTAAGAAAAGCCAACTTTTTCAATCATGAATTATAACATTTTCTGTCACTTAAGAAAAATGGAATTTTAAATACTATTTTGCCCAAAATGAACACTGAACCCCTTTGTCTTAACTTATTGATGATAGGTAGTGCAGCCACTCTTGGAGGTCTGTGGGAAGACTGCGACAGCCATCTGCTGCCATCTACTGGCGCCTGTCCACATGGCACTTCCTCCATCCCTGGGGCCGGCCCAGCTCACGGGATTTGCCTTCATGGGGATAAGTTTGTAGGACGTGAAGGGAATACAACTAAAATTCTGTTTTCTCTATCATGTTTTGAGATTTTTTTCTTAAAGATAGAGGATATTTATCGCTGATTAATAACTGGAATAGTCCTTATTGCAAGAAATTTCTGAAATAACTAGCTCACAATATATGACAGAAACAAATATTTTGATGTGTGCAGCAATTCAGAACCATTTGAATTGAAGGCTGTTACTGTAATTTGAATTTAAAAGTAAAAAACTGATTTAGAATGAATGCCACTTTTGAAGAAAAGTTCATTTAAACTCATTTATGGTTTTGTTTTGTTTTTTCCTTAAGTACAAGATGCATATCTTAACCAAACGTGCTGCAGAATTGAACAAATTTATGCTGGAAAAAGTGGCTGAGGACACAAGCAGTGTTCTGCATTCCCCGATGCCCGGAGTGGTGGTGGCTGTCTCTGTCAAGCCTGGAGACATGGTAAGGGCTGTGTGTGTGTCTGCAGGACATGCTGGTCTCAGACTTCCCCTTCCAGGATGACGGCTGAGGGCGCAGCACCATTCGGCTTGGCAGTTCTTTCTTAACTAACCCTCACCAAACAGCAAAATTGCTTTCTTGCGTTGTCTACCTGTTTCACGTTTGCATTAGGTGAGTGCCAGGACTCTCAGCGCTTCCCCTCCCAAGTGATCTGGGAGTGGAACGGAAAGAAGTCCAGTTTCATCTGTCATTTCGCAAATGCAGTGTTTTGGGAAGTACTTTACTTAAAGTGCTACTTACTCTCCTGTATGCTGTGTTCAAAGCTTCCTTGAAGAACTCATGCCAGGGAATAATACGCCAAGGAGGAACTTTTTGCATGATTCCTGGAATAAATGTCTAATTGGGAAGAAGAGTTAAGGAAAGGTTAATTCTGCAATCTGCACAGTACCAGAGCACTTCCGTTACTTGGTAAATAAAATGTAGCATCACAGTTGGAAGTTTTTCATCTTGATCTTGTGACATTAAAGCACAAATCAAAGCTATATTATTTCCTCATGCAGTCTCGAGATAACCTGCTATGGATGAATTGGTAGGATGCACACGTTTTCTTAGAACATGGATAGAAATCTCTATTGATGAGCAGCAAAGTGAAAAGAAAACAATTTAGGAGGCAACAAGAAGGTTTCTGGGGACACTTAGATACTTGCGTTTTTATTCATGTGCAGGAAAATAGCCAGACATCACTGTCTCTCATGGGTGAGGTGGGGGTGATATTTTGTATCTCAGGTCACTGGGGCTTACATTTTAATGCCTCCTGATTTCTTAGTATACATAAAATATCCTCTTAACATTGAGGGAAAAAATCATGTTGTTGGCTTTGGCTTCTAGAAGAGCATTTGCAATAATGTAAATATCAAGAAAACATGATCAGTTTTAGTTGTTTAAGTTATCAGCTCTGAAACTAATATATGAAGTTAGAAAACTGACTTAACAGTTGCTTTACCTGGTGAAACAGATATAGAACTACTGTATCAGCTCTTTAAGAAAGGCATAAAAGAGGCTACGTAGCTGTGAATTGTTGTTTGCTTTGAAAGCATTGATACTCCAGGAAGAAAGCCCTTATTAAGACTGTCTAATGCCCAAGTGTTAAGGATTTGGGAGAGGCCATAAGAGACAGAGTGAGAGAAAGAGAGAGAGAGAGAGAGAGAGAGAGAAAGAGAGAGTGTGTGTGTGTGTTCACTTTATTTTTTATTTTTATTTTTTTTTTGAGACGGAGTTTCGCTCTTGTTACCCAGGCTGGAGTGCAATGGCGCGATCTCGGCTCACCGCAACCTCCGCCTCCTGGGTTCAGGCAATTCTCCTGCCTCAGCCTCCTGAGTAGCTGGGATTACAGGCATGCGCCAACATGCCCAGCTGATTTTTTGTAGTTTTAGTAGAGACGGGGTTTCACCATGTTGACCAGGATGGTCTCGATCTCTTGACCTCGTGATCCACCCGCCTCGGCCTCCCAAAGTGCTGGGATTACAGGCTTGAGCCACCGCGCCCGGCTCGTGTGTTCACTTTAAATCCTTTTCTAACGCGTGTGTGTATGTGTGTGTGTTTTCCTTAAATCTTTTTCTCTCTCTGTGTGTGTGTGTGTGTGTGTGTGTGTGTGTATGTGTCTGTGTGTGTGTGTGTTTTCCTTAAATCCTTTTCTAACACCTGAATCCACACCTGAGTGGAGGGAGGTAGGGCAAAAAAGAGCGAGACCACTTCTGCCTCCAGCCTGGAGGGTGAGAGGGTGAGACTGCTGCCCTGGTCCCGTCTGCCCAGTGGCCCTCACGGAGGCTGCTCAGAGGCAGTAAATGGAGTACTCCCAAGGTCTGATCAGTGCAGCCTTCTGGTTTCTTAACAGCTGCTCGCTCCTGATCTAGCTTTCCCACATACCGAAAGGGTTTGGCCTTTGTATGTTCCATTTCCTGGTTAATAATTGAATGTGGAAAAGCAAGGCATTTCGTAAATGCGAACAATGTGATATTAGCTCTGGGTTCATTGATGTAGCTCAGATATTGAAAACACCCACCAATAATTAAATGTGCGTACTCATTAAGAATGGTTTGAGAACTAATTGTTAAAAATATGTTACCGCAGAGCAGTGGGGCCTGTATTTTATGCATTCCTTTAAAGTCAGAGTACCCGGGGGGCCTGCCTGGTGGATCGGCTCATGGTCTCGGGATCCATCAGCTCCTCCTGAGTGCTGTTTGTGGGGGCTGCTCAGGTGGAGCATACACTTGCTTTTATTTGTCTCTTTTGGTACTTGTAGAGCTTCCTTTCGTCGTCTGTGCCATTGTGTTTTGATAAAACAGTCTTTTCTCTTGGATTACTGCTTGTGAAAAATGTCCCAGACCACTAATAGTGAAATCCAATGCACCCCGAGAAGTTGAATCGTCGGCTCTTAGAACAACTTCTATAATTGCATTTTGCTTTGTGTCATTAAAACACAAGGAGCTTCCCTGGACCAGAGGCACGGCACTTACTTGAGACTGTTATGAGAAAACATTACTTGTAACGTTGAAGTTTGGTGGTTTCCAATGGTTTTAACACTGCCGGGTGGGTTGCGTTTTCCCCTGTACTAACAATAGCTAAGCTGGAGGTTCCCCTTTTATGGGTGGGAAGATAATGGAGGACTCTGTCTCCTTGGTGTATTTTCAAGGAAAAAAGGACCCAGAAATTACTGAGGGCCTTACAAGTATTCTGTTTTTCTTCGGAATGTTACTTTTCATCATTTAAATTCCAGTAACCTATCATGTTTGTGTTCAGCTTAATTTTACTTGACCAATCCTAGAATGGTGGGCCTGGCAATAAGTTCGAAAAGCGTCGCATAAAAATCGCAATGAACAAACCTGTTTTGTGAAGTAAGCACCCTGAACATGGTTTACAAACCTCAGGAAGAGGAGACGTGAGGTGGCTGTTGAGAAGTAATGAATCCACTCAGGGCTTGGTGTGTCAGGGTCTGTGAACGGATTCATGTGAAACATTCTCCCTGCCCTAAACACAGAAGCTGGGTTTCATGTGAAGAGCTTCCCTAGGGTTCACACAGCAAAAGTTCCTAACACTTTTTCAGTGTTTGTCACACACTGTTTATCATTAAATGTAGCAGGCAGATCACATTTGAAATGATTGTGTAATTGTTTTTTTGAACATGCGGAGAGAGGGTGTTAATATACAGTAAAATGCATGTAAGCAAACAAATCAATAAGTAATGGATTGTTAAAGTCAAGAATCACTAATATAACTTAGAAAACAACTGATAGAATAAATTTTACATGCCTTTTCATATGCCTTCTGAAAATGTTTCTGCAGTAACCCATTTCAGTTTGAAAACAGTTTTCCTGGACACGTAACACTACTGTAAACTGGGAGCACTTCTGTCATCAAAGTTAGCATGAGTCACTGTTTTAAACTATCTTTATGATACTTTTGAACAGAAATGTTAAAAATACATATTTTTCAGAATAATGGTAGAATACATTTTTCCACATTAATTTCGACTTACAGCTGCTTGAATTTATTACATAATTTTCATTTTGACTTTGAAGTATAAAATAGTCATGATGCGCACATTTGCTGTGTTAGCCTCTTGATAACAGAAACAAAACAAAACCCCATAAGATAGTCACTCAGGAAGGTATTTTAATATTGCATTTAGTTAAGCTTTTTTTTTTTTTTTTTTT